TTCTGAAAGATCAGGAAGAAGATGACAGTGTCCACCGTGTTCTACATTGTACTGAAGAGTCAAGGTTAACTAAATAGGAAAATGAAATAAATCAAATCTAGAATGAAAAGGAAGAAGCAAAACTATATCTATTTGCAGATGACATGATCTTGTATATAGAAAATCCTAAGAATTCCTCTGAAAAGTCAGAACTCTAGCACTAATCATTACAGAAAAGCAAAGATACTTTACCACAGTGAAGTTATCAACTCATACCTACCAGGATGGTCATTATAAAAACAAAACAAAACCAGAAATTAACAAGTGTTGGTAAGAATGTGGACAAATTGGAAACCTCATGCATGGTTATAAGTTTAAAATGGCGCAGTTGCTATGGAAAACAGTATTATGGTTCCTTGAAAAATCAAACTACTATGTGATCTAGCAAACCCACTTTAGGGATTTGTCCAGAATGACTGAAATCAGAATCTCAAAGAGATATTTGCATTCTCATGTTTATTTCAAAATTGTTCAAAATAGGCAAAAGGTGGAAACAGACTAAACATCTGTCCAATGACAGATGGATAAAGAAAATGTGGCATATACTTATGATGGACTATTAAGCCATAAAGGAAGGAAATCCTGTCATATACCACAATGTGGATGAACCTTGAAAACATTCTACAAGACCCAGGAGGACAAATGCTGCATGATTTCACTTACTAAACTAGTCAGACTCAGAGATAGAAAATATATTTGTGGTTTCCAGGAGATGGGGGGAGGGACAAATGAGGAGTTGATGTTCAGAAGGTACAGAGTTTCAGTTGTGCAAGATGAAACAGTTCTAGAGATCTAGAGATCAACCGAATAACATTGTGCTTATAGTTAATACTGTACTGTACATTTAAAAACATGTTAAAAGGTAGATAGTTTTCTGCCCCTGGGTTACTGGGGATTGAATTCTGGGGTGTTTTACCAATGGGCCATATCCCTGGCCCTTTTATTTACTTGTTGATTTTTAATTTTGAGGCAGTGTCTTGCTAAATTGCTGAGGCTGGCTTCAAACTTGTGATCCTTCTGCCTTAGCCTCCCAAGTAGCTAGGATTACAAGTGTGTGCCACTCACCCAGCTAAAAGGGGGAAATTATGCTGTATATTTTACTACAATAAAAATGGAATTAATTAATGAGAACAGAAAAAGTTGCAGCATACAATATGCAGGTCAGTATGGAAAAATCAATTGTATTTCCACATACTTGCAATGAGCAACCTAAATGGAAATTAAGAAAATAACTCCAGGAGCTGGGGATGTGGCTCAATCGGTAGCAAGCTTGCCTGGCATGCGTGCGGCCCGGGTTCGATCCCCAGCACCACATACAAACAAAGATGTTGTGTCTGCCGAAAACTGAAAAATAAATATTGAAATTGAAATTCTCTCTCTCTCTCTCTTAAAAAAAAAAAAAGAAAAAAAAGAAAATAACTCCATTTACAATAGCACTTCCCAAAATAAGATACTTAAGAATAAATTTAACAAAATAAATACAAAATGTATACTCTGAAAATGTCAAATAATTGTTGAAATACATCAACAATCTAAAGAAATGGAAGATTTAATATTATTAAATAGATCTATAAATATAATTCTGCTGGGTGCAGTGGCACATGCCTATAATCCCAGTGGCTTGGGAGACTGAGGCAGGGGGATCACAAGTTCAAAGTCAGCCTCAGCAACTTAGTGAGGCCCTAATCAACTTAGTGAAAAACCTGTCTCAAAATGAAAGCTACAAAAGGACTGTGGATGTGGTTAAGTACTCCTGGGTTCAATCCTTGTTACAAATAAATAAATGAATAAAACATAATTCCTATCAGAATCAGTGGCTTCTTTGTAGAAATTGACAATTGGGTCTTAAATTCATATGAAAACTCAGGGGACCTAGAACAGCTAAATGAGTCTTCAAAAAAAAGAACAAAATTGAGGGACTCACACTTAAAAACTTACTACAAAGCTACAGTGTGGGACTGGCTTAAGGACAGACTCAGATTAATGGAGTAGAATCTGGAGTTCAGAAATAAACTTATGTATCTATGATAAATTAATTCTGGACAAGGGTGCAAGGCAATTCAATGAGGGAAACAATAGTCTTTGAGCTGGGTGTAGGGGGCCAAGGCAGGATGATTGTAAGTTCAAGGCCAGCTCGGGCAATTTAGTGAGACTGTCTCAACAGAAAATAAAAAGGTCTGGGTAAGTAGCTTAGTGGTAGAGCACTTGCCCAGTATGTGGAAGGCCCTGGGTTCAATCTCTACCAGGGAGGAGCAAAAAGAAGAAGGAAAAGGAAAGAAAGGAAGAATTGAGGGGCTAGGGTTTTGGCTCAGCGGTAGATCTCTCGCCTAGCAAGTGTGAGGCCCTGGGTTTGATCCTCAGCACCACATAAAAATAAATAAATAAATTAGAATAAAGATATTATGTCCATCTATAACTAAAAAAAAAAAAAGAATTGAAGAATAACTTTGAACAAGTGATGCTAGTATATATATATATATACATACATACACAGTATACACAATATAAAACAATGAATTTGAAATCCCTACCTCACACCATATCCAAAAATTTACTCAAAATAGATTTTTAAAAGTCAAATATAAAAACTGAAATATAAAAATCTTAGAAGACAATTTACAGGTAAGTCTTTATGTCCTTGAATTTGGTAATATTTTCTTCAATATCTCACCAAAAAGCACAAGCAATAAAAGAAAAAATAAATTGGACTTGATCAAATTTTTGAATTTTGTGTTTTCAAGGACACCATTGAGAAAGTAAAATACAACCTATAGAACAAGAGAGAATATTTGCAAGTAATATATCTGATATTAAATTTGTATCCAAAACATATAAGTAACACTGACATCCCAATAATACAAGACATAATTCAATAAAAAATGGGCAAAGAATCCGTATGGACATTTCTTCTAAAATACACAAATGGCTAATAAATGCCTGAAAAGATACTCAACATCTTTAGTCATTAGGGAAATGTGAATAGGTAACAGAATGAGAAACCATTTTAAATCCACTAGGGTGGCTGTATAACTTAATCTAATTTGAAAGTTAGATGATAAAATGTGTTGGCAAGCCAGGCATGGTTGTGCATGCCTGTAATCTCAGCTGCTTGGGAGGCTGAGGCAGGAGAATCACAAGTTTCAGGCCAGTCTCAGCAACTTACTGAGGGCCTAAATAACTTAGGGAGACCCTGTCTGTAAATAAAATATAAAAAGGGCTGGCGATGTGGGTTGGTGGTTAAGCACCCCTGAGTTCAATCTCAGGTACCCCCCCCAAAAAATTGTGGATAATGATGTGACAACATCAAACCCCTCTATAGTGCTAATAGAGTTGCAAAATGGGAAACAATATTATCTCCCAGCTCTTAAAATCAGGCAATTCTATTGGAAACAATATAACTAAAAAGAAGTTGCAAGGGAAAGTTTAATTTGTTGCGAGATTGATGGGAATGTTTGTTGCCAGATTGATTGGAATGTTTGTTGCGAGATTGATGGGAATGTATCCAAGTTTGTAAAGTGAGAGAATATGGCTTAGAATTCTGACCACAGTTGGCATTTCTGAGATAGCTACAGTTGCTTGTGAAATCTGTGCTTGTAGAGAAGCCCACTTCTTTGGGTTCTATAACAATGTGACAATTACGAAGTCACCCTCTCCTCTTCAATTACTAGGATAGCCAATGATAGGCATAAAAATACATTTATTGACTGATAAAAAAGAAAAGTCCTGGCCTAGAGGGCTTCAGCAAAACCTGAACAAAGGTGTTCAAATAATGTCATGAGGAATTTGTCTTACCAAGACCTTGGCTGCGTTAGTTTCATTTTCAGGGGGGCCCCTCCTTCTGCCATTTTGTCAACCAGAGCAGAAAGAAATCTCTTTCCCAGTAGTTCCAGCTCCTGGTGGTCTTGGGAAAACTTTCCTCAGTTTATAATGGGCCATAAATCCTTCTCTAAATTAATGACAATGGGCAGGAGGAGGTGATAGTGTGTTTTCAACTGCCAGGAAGTTAATGGCCATGGGGACAGAGGATGGAATAGCCATGAAACAAAATGGTGAAGGCAGAGTGTGCACAAGTTACCTGTTTCTTAACAATGTTGGAAAGGAGAGGATTGATTTTTATTGAATGCCAACCATATATTGGGTCTTGTGGTGGGAAAATAAAACAGTCTGATAGGAGATCTGGACACATAGACAATTATATCTGATTTGTAAGTGACAATGGTAGTTTTCCTTTACTATAACAAAATCCCAGAGGCTGGGTAATTTGTGAAGACAAAAGATCTATTTAAATTCACAATTTGGAGGAGGGAAGTCAAAAAAGCATGGCCCTTGCAAGGGCCTCTCTGACTGCTTTATCTGATGGCAGATGGCATCATGGTGGGAGTATTTGTGGGAGGGAGGCAGCAGCCACCTGGTGGGGCAGGAAGCGGGGGTGACTGGGGAATGACCAGGCTTGTTCTTTTATAGTGATCCTGTCACTAGAACTAACTTAATCTCTTTGTAGGGCAGCACCTCCGATGACCTCCCACTGGGCCTCACCTTTGAAAGGTACTGCCATCTTTCCATATGACCATGCTGGGGATCCAGCTTCCAGTGCATGAACCTTTGGAAGACAAGCCATATCCAGACTGTAAGGAGCCATTTGAGGAGTGGTAGTATGTGTAGCGGGTGTCAGGGAAGACTTCACCGAGAGGGACATCCTGATCTGCGTCTTAAAGGATGGGTGGTAAACGAGGAGGAAGGGATCTCGGGCCCATGCCAGGGGCAAAGAATAAGTAAACCAAAACAACAACAACAACAACAAAAATGGAGCCAGTGTGGTGGCATGCCTGGGGACCAGCTACCCGGAGGCAGAGGCAGGAGGGTCACTTGAGCCCAAGAGTTCAAAGCCAGGCTGGGCAACATAGGAAAACCCGTCCAGAAAAAAAAAAAAAAAAAAAAAAAATTGGCCAGAAAAATCCATATCCAAACCAAAGACATTTTTAGTTTTGCTCACACGACATTTTTAGAAGTTTTAGAATTAGCTGCCAACATTAAAAGATCTGGAGCTTTCACATGAAAATCCATAGCTTTAATTTATCTTGGGAAATCAGGTTTGACATTCCTGCATGGCGACGAAGGTCACTCTGTATCAGACAACCACATCACCTGCCTGTCCTCCGTGGTGGGTCAGAGACAGCTTCATATTTTTGCAACTGTCCACAACAACGGTCCCCTCCCCATGGACTCGAGGACAGTCCTGCAAGTGTTTAACCAACAGAATGTGACAGAAGTGATAGAAATAGTTAGGCTGTGACAATTGCGGGTGGGGCACTCCTCAAACCCCAGAATAGGGCTGGGAGAGTGTCCACCTTGGGAGCCAGCAATGGGGCGTGTGGGTCAGAAGCCAGAAGCACAGGGGCAGATCTGGGCCCCAGAGGCAGGCGGGGAGTTGTTCAGCAGATGTGGATGAGACAGGGTGGCTGGTGGGGGTGCCTGGGGAAGGGGCGACTTGACCCTTGACCTGTCCAGCAAGAGAAGAGATGCCCTGAAGGGGATCAAGAGAGAAAGCTGGAGAGAGGAAGAGGACGGGGGAGAGCAGGTCCCTGTTAGATTCCAAAGACAGGTGTTCAGAGGGAGGGAGCGGTCAGCAGCTTCAGGTGGCCGCCAAAATGTGTTTGATGTGTGATCAGGAGATGGTTGGTGGCCTTGGCGATGGCAAGTCTCTGTGGCAGCAGACAAGTAGGTGAAAAAGCAGTGGAGGGGGAAGTCAGACTGGGTGTCAACAGCTCTTTCAAGAAACTTGAGCGTGAACTGCAGGAGTGAAGAGGAAGTGGTCCGAGGTTGGCAGGTCCCTGCCCCGTGGGAGACCTAGTGTGTTTTTAAACACTGAACAGAGGGTCCTTGGACAGGGAAGTTGGCGGTGCAGGAGAGGGGCTAAGCCATGGAACAGGTCAAGAGGAAACGGGAAGGACTGTCCAGGAGGGCGCAGGAGTCAGCCTGGGCCCGAGTCAGCCTCTGCCTCTGGGGTGATGGCCCATGGCAGTTAGAGAAGCCGGAGATGAGAGCTGGTGAGGACAGAGCGGCTGGCACAGTTCTCATTTCACTTCTCCATAAAATAGGAGCCGCGATCATCTGGTGACAGCGAGGAAGGCATCTGCAGCAGAGGGCTGGTGGAAGCGGCCATTGAGGTTGACTTGGGCTCCAGCCTGGAGACTTTGACATCCTTCCGTGCCTCCTGCTGAGGGCCACAACGGGCTTCCGGATGTGACAGTCAACGCTGAACCTGCAGGTCAAGGAAGACCATAGATATGAGGAGGCCTGGGGGCCCCGGAGCTGGAAAACCTGATTAGGCCCCCCAGGCTTAGCCCACTTCATCTGCTCTTAGCCTGCGATCGCCCATGCTGCAGATGTCTCCAGAATCTATTACTGTGGAGGCAGATTTGAGACTTGCTCTGCTGTCTCCACGCAAGGTCACCTTGTTAATTAACTCCTTCTGTGGTGCAAAACTCATCATTTCTGGGGCTGGAGCTCAGGCCGAGAGTAAGCCCGGTGAGCACAAGCCCTGGGTTCAGTCCCCAGCACCACCAAGAAAGCTCAGACCTCATTATTTTTGCCATTGGCATCATGCATGGCAGGCAAAACAGGCCTGGTTTGGTAGCAGTGCCAGGCCACCAGAGTAACCACTCATACAGGAGACCGTTGCTTCACTTGTAGACTGGTGTGGGTTTTATTGCCTACATCAGCAAACTTCTTGAGAAGGCCCTGGTTGAGGTCCCTCGTGATCTGGGTCCTGCTGACCTTTCTGGCTTGGTGTCCCTCCCCATCATCCCAAGTCCCTGAGGCGCCAACTGTGGGGCAGGTCTCACTTTTCCCTAAAGTGCCATAACTGTTTCTGCCTTTATCTGAAAGGCTTTTCTCTTCCCCTTCCTTCTCTGCTTGGCAAACTCTCAAGTTTAAGCTGGGTACAGTGGTGCATGCCTGTAATCTCAGCTGCTTGGGAGATCTTGAGTTCAAACTCAGCCTCAGCAATTTAGCGAGGTACTAAGCAACTCAGTGAAATCCTGTCTCAAAATAAAATATAAAAAGGGCTGGGGATGTGGCTCAGTGATTAAGTACCCCTGAGTTCAATCCCTGGTACCAAAAAAAAAAAAAAAAAAAAAAAAAGACCCAGTTTAAAGCCAGGTGTGGTGGCACACTCCTGTAATCCCAACAACTTGGGAGGCTAAGGCAGGAGGATCACTTGTTTATGACATGCCATCCATCCATCCATCCCACCACCACCACCTCTGATGGTCTCCTCCACTTCATTCCCGATTGCCCTCCTGACTTGGCTCCTCCCCCTTTTTGTGAACACCCGGGTTGTAAGAGGTCCCAGGATGCTGCAGCCAGACTTACAGGTCTCAGTCAGGCAGGCTTGGATGTGAATCCTACTTCATGTGACCTTGGGCAGGTCATTTATCTCCTCTCTGCATTGATTACTTTATCCATAAAATGGGGATAAACAAATATCTCGCAGGGCTCTGTGAACAACCCAATGAGGGGTTGTTCCTGAAGGCACTTGGTGTGGCACCTTGAAGTAGTGTGGCCTGGACCTGTCAGGATGCTTCATTGTAAGAACCTAATTTAAAAGTTTTCTTTTACACTTAGCTGGTTTGGATGAGGATCCAAAGAGAGTCTACATGTTACAGTTGGTGAGCACAGTTCTTAAGACTCCATATATTTTTCTTTCATCTCATTTTAGTGCCATTTACTTTATTTAATTTTTTAACTTAATTTTATTTTAATTTTTGACAATGCAGGAATGTAGGACCATGGATTTTAGACAAGCACTCTGCCACTAAGCTACATCCCAGCCCTTTTAGTATGGTCCATTTTGGGGGGGGGTATCAGGGATTGGACTCAGGAGCACTCGACCACTGGAGCCATGTCCTCATCCCTATTTTGTATTTTATTTAGAGACAGGGTCTCACTGAGTTGCTTAGGACCTCGCCATTGCTGAGGCTGGCTCTGAACTTGCGATCCTCCTGACTCAGCCTCCCAAACTGCTGGGATTATAGGTGTGCACCACCATACCCAGCTAGTGTGGTCTATTTTGATGGTCATTCATTCCTATAAAATTCTCTGCATTCAAGATTTAAGTAATTGCTCCCTGATGGTGTTATTTAACCTGTTCTTCTATCCCTTTTATTTCCTATAAACTAATAATTAAGTTTGGATGACTACATTCAAGATGACAGTGATCACAATTATTCTGGCAAGAACAGGGAGAAGGTGGTGCTGCATATGTACTGCATCATAGCAGGAGATACAGAATGTCTAGTCCTACTTTTGGTGATGGTAAGATTGATTGATGGTGCCAGGTGCATTGGCACATGCCTATAATCCCACTGGCTTGTGAGGCTGAGGCAGGAGAATGGCAAGTTCAAAGTCAGCCTCAGCAGCAAGGCCTTAAGCAACTCATTGAGACCCTAAATAAAATATAAAATGGATGGGGATGTGGCTTGGTGGTTAAGCCTCCCTGGGTTCAATCTCCTGTACAAAAAAAAAAAAAAAAAAAAAAAAAAAAAAAAATTTGATTGATGGAATCTTTCTTTTCCTGGCAATCATGGAAGTTTGAACATAACCAGGGTATTATGAAGGTAAGAAATTATTGCTAAATATTTTGGGTGTAATTATATATTACATTATGGTATTGTGGTTGGGTAAAATAAAATTCCTTGTCTGACATACAACATGGGCGAATTTCAAAACATGCTGAATGAAAACAACAACAACAACAAAAACCAACCAACCAACCCAGATCCATACTTATTGATTTCAATTATATGGAACATTCTGGAGCAAGCAAAATGAACCTATAAGTGATGAAAAACACGGCACGGATTGCCTCAGCAATGGCGGAGGCTGGGGACTGACTGTGGAGGGATTTTGAGGGTGATGGAAACATTTTGTATTTTGAATGTGGTGGTGATTGCATGGATATGTACAGCTGTCAAAACTAATTGAATCATGCACTTAAAATGAATGTTTTATTGTATGAAAATTAAGGTGTATTTTGATGTTTGTGAATAAAGTTGATTTTAAAAGGAAATAAAATTACAACTAGAATAAAAAGAATTCATTCTTATAGTCATAAAACTGTAATATGCCTCTGAGGGGAAACTAGTAATATGTGACTACAGATAAAATTATATTCAAGACAAAAGAGAAGACCTACACGTATAGATAATGGACTGTGTTCATGGGCAGATGTCTCAATGGTCATCCCAAATTACTCTATAAATTAAATGTTTTGTTGAAAGAGCTGAGTTTTTAAAGTTCGTATCTGTTACTAATAAATACTGAAGTGGCATAATGTTTGGGATTTGGCTTAATATGTTCAAAGAAAATAATGTGAAAGAAGAAATAAAGAAATCAATATTTATCCTATGCTGAGAATTGTTGAAGCTGAATGAGGGGTACAAGAGAGTTTATTATATAATTCTTTTGATTTTATATATTTGGAATTTTCTATAATGGAAGATTAAAAGTATAAATGACTCAAATTTTTAAAAATAGGTAAGATAAAACCTTATTTCTCCCAGAAGTTTTTTTTTTTAAGGAAAAAAAATCTAACTAAAATTTAGTTAAAAAAAAAAAAGAGCAAAATCGAGCAAGAAAGGAAATTTGTTACTTCACATAACAAAGACTTGCTTCAGGTATAGGTGGATCCAGGGTCTCAGACAGTGTCCTCAGGGCTCTAGTTTCTTCTCTTCCTTTCTTGGCCCTAATGGCCTCTAGATTGGTTCTGTTCTCAGCTTGCTTCAGCTGAAGGTGAGATGACTATTAGCACCTCTTAGACTTCTACTCTGAGCCACCCAGCAGGAAGCTCAATTAAAGACCTGGAATTAAGTTGCAGGGCACTGTTGGCCTGGCACAGGTCATCTGCATTTATCTCTCTAATGTCAGGGGTGTGTCTCATTAGCCTCTGAGTCCCCTACACCCAGCACACTGCCTGGGACACAACTGGGTGGATGGATAGATGAGGAAAGTATGGAAAATACCAGACCTTTCATGTGTACACAGAGAGCTCTGCAGATGAGCAGAAAATTCCCAGGAAGTTGGAGGAGACCACGGCACTTGGGGGCATATGGCCATTACTGTCTCCGTTAGGAAGGCCAGGGTAGAGGGGCAGGGTGCCAATGCTCACGTGGTGCTCACCTGCACAGCGCCTGGCATTCACTATACATTATATCAACTCATCCTCAGACTGTATAAAGTGAGATGGAAGCTAGGGTCCCCCAAGGTCCTCTGACCCCACCCTGCTCCTCAGTCTCTTTAGGGCCAGACAGAACAGAGAATGCACTGGGAACCTTGCTAAGGAGTTTGAACTTTGCTCTTCATTTTGGTCTGTCCATCTTTACAGTGTATCTGGTTCCTTGGAAGGGCCTCTGCTCCTGTCTGCCTACAGAGCAGGTAGACAGGTCAGAACTGCCACCTGCAAGTGCCATAAAGTTAACTGAAACTTCTTGGCTTATATGGAAGTTATTGGTTTATATAACAGCAAATTTAAGGGGTTCGGGCACAGCTTGATCCAGAGAGTCAAATGATGTCTAGAATATGTCCTCATGTCTTGCTTCTGCAGTTCTCTGCGTGGGCTTTCCCTGGCCAGCTTTTCTTATGTGGTGACAAGATGGTTGCTACTAGTGCTGTGATTACATCCTTACAGCTTACTAACCCACATGGAAAGAGAGCTGCTTTTTCCCAGCAGCTCCAAGATGCCTCTGTTTTGGACTGCACAGGCTGGAATCAAGCATCCAGCCCTGAGACAGAGCAAAAGGCTTGCTGTGGCTGGGGAAGCAGGGACCATGGGTTCCCCCGAGACCCCTTCCTGAACCTCATGGACAGTCACTGAGGAAGGTTGATTCCCCCAAGGAAAATCCAGGAGCTGCCACCAGGAATGGAGCGATGGTGAGATGCTAGGTTGGCAGCATCCAGACAGGCAAATGCCAGTTCAGTGCCCTCGTAGGGAGGCATTGGCCTCTACCCAAACACACGGCGAGCTGCGTGGCATGGTCCTCGCTGCCTACCATCGATCTTGTGTTCTGTGGACATCTGCTTCCCAGAACTTCCTCCCACTGGCCTTGCGTCTGTCCTCTGCAGCAGCCCCGTGCTGGCCGCCCCCTTCCCATGCTGAGGACCAACTGGCATTTGAAAGCAGCCTGAATCTGTCCCAGCTTTCTCTCTTCAGGCCCGTCAGACTCACCACCTCTAGGGCAGGTCTTTGGGGTCCTTCAGCATGTGCTCGTGCTCTGTGTGGGCACAAGACCCTGCAGGGCTGAAGACATCTGTAAAATGAAGATAGCATCTGCCACTCAGGGGCTATTGTAGGGATTAAATGAGCATGGTATAGCCAGGTGCAGTGGCCCTGGCCTCTAATCCCAGTGATTTGGGAGACTGAGGCAGGAGGATGACAAATTCAAGGCCAGCCTGGGCAACTTATCAAGACCCTACCTAAAAAATAAAAAAATAAAAAGGACTGGGGATGTAACCCAATGGTAAAATGCCCCTGGGTTCAGATCCCAGTAACACACACATGAACACACACACACAGAGAAAGGGGTAAAAAAAAGTGAGCAAAGTATAATGTTTAGAACAGTACCCAGCACACAGTAGTCGCTCAATAAACACCAGCTGTTATCCTTGTCACTTCAGCTGCAGATTGTACATCACAGGCTCTGTCTCACTCTTTGTTCAGTGGCAGGTTCTTGGTTCAACCCTTAGGTTTTTACAATTGAATAACTGCAGAACTCTTCCACGTACATTGTCTCATCTGAATCTCATAACTGAGGAAACTGAGTTTGAGAGGTTAAGCCTCTTGCCCCAAATCACACAGCCAATCAATGGTGAGGTAGGATTTCTTGCTGTTCCTTGAACTCCTTCCTACCGCGGGGGCCTTGGCCTCAACTCTGGTTGCTGTTGGGCCTACCAGATGGTCTTCTGGCCACGCCTACTGGCTCTTCCTCATCCTCTCAGTCCAGCCCCAGTTCTCTACGTGACAATGAGAAGCGCTAACATTTACTTAGCACTTGCTATTTTTTTTTTAGCACTCGGCAGGGAGGTGCTTCAGACTCTCCTTTGGTTATTTAGGGAAATCATCCCCATAACCTTGTGAGGCACGTGTGGCTCAGCTACAGACAGGAAACAGGCTGAGAGAGGTTAGTATCCTGCCCAAGGTCACTCAAAAGGAGTGACAGCCAGGAGCCACACTGGTACAACAGCCTGATTCTAGGCCTTTCTTGCCTTCCGTGTCGTTGCTTCAGTATGTCCCTCAGATCCAAGGAAGGGCATGGGTTCTCTCCTCTTGAGTGTGACGCTGGGCGCCTACCTCTGCTTGGCGCCCTTAGGGCCATCGCGGGCTTTTCTCTTCCACCTGGTGGAGAGCTCTTTACCGCGGGAGCCCGACTCATTCGCCCCCGTGGCCCCTGGCTCAAAGCAGGCGCTCCATGGCGCCCAGCTATTTCATTTGTCCCTCGCCCCAGCCTTGTGCAGCAGGAGGGCAGGGTGCCCCGGGTGAAGATCTGAAACCCAGAAAGGCCAAGCGACTCCCCAGGCTACCCATTAGTCCATTAGGAGTCGCGACCAGAGCCCAGCTCCCCTTGAGTCTGGTCCGCGCAGGGCTGTCCCTCGTCCGGCCCCGGCTCCTTGGGTCCCATCCGTGCGGGGGAGAGGATGGCGACGCAGACTGGCTGGCGAGAGCGCGGGCCTTGGGAGCTTTCACGAGCCGGGGAAGGATGGCGAGGAGGCTGGGGGCGGCTGGAGGAGGGAAGGAGGAGCGGAGTATTTTTGCATTTGACGTTCAAAGAAGCGCAGAGTGGAGGCCCAGGGCATCTGTTCGGAGCTGGCAGCGCACAGCGAGCTGCTCGCGCAAAGAGGCCAGCGCTGCTGCGGGTCCCGCGCCGGCGGCCGCCTCCGCGGAGGGCAGGGCCAGCCTCTCCCGAGCTCCGCCCCAAAGGGGCGCTGCCAGCGGAGGAGGCGGGCGACGGCCGCTTCTCATTCATTGTCTTGACAGAGCATCCTCAGCCGGCCAGTCTCGGGCTCCGGCTGCGCCTTCCTCCTCCTCCTCCTCCTCTTCCTCCTCCATTGGGGGGGGGTCTAGCTCATCTCTCTGCCGCAGGTGAGGCTGGGGTCCCTGGGGCGCGGGGGTGACCGGCTGGAGGGACCCGGCTTCGCTGCCTTGGGCCACCTGTGGGGCCGGCGTGAGCGTGGGAGCAGCGGGCTGTCGGGCGGGCGGACTGTCAGCCGCGCCTGGCTCAGCCGGGGACAGGGAGCCGACCCCTCGGCTCTCGGGGAGGCCCCCGGGCTTGAGGACTGCGAGGGGCCAGCCGAGGGTCCCAGAGTGCTCTGAGGTGAGGGTGAAGGGCCACCGCGGCCAAGATGGAGGTGGGCAAGCCGGGAGGGGCCGCAGCGCGCGGGGGGCGGGCAGAGGATGCCCAGCGCCGACCTGCTCAGAATGCGAGGGTCTGGGCGGCGGGGTGGGCGCCAGGGTGGGGTGAGAGGAGCTGCTGCCCCGAGCTTGGAGACAGGAAGGGCTTGACAGCAAAACAAGAAAAGACCAAGTTCCCCTTTCCGTGGCTTCTGGGCCTGGTACCTGCGGTGGGGGAGGCGGCAGGGTGGGGCCATGGCTTCCTGTACCCCAACCTATGAGGCTGCCCTCTCCCCAGGCTGCTCTCTTGGGATTCCTGTCCCTTATTTGAACCTGGGGCTCTTGGCTCATGCTTCTCACCTGCTTTCCGGTAGGCAGGCCTGGGAGTCTCCTGAGGGATCCCAGCTTAGGCAAGGGGGCTGTGGCCCCGAAAGAAGGGACAAGGCCCCAAGGCAGAGCAAATGGTGAGACTGCGGAGGTGGACAGGAGCTCTGGGCAGGGTGCCCTCAGCATGGCAGCATAAGCCCCTTCACCAAGCAGAAAGGTGGTGTGATCGGGCACCAGGACGGCACCCTGGAGCCCAGGGAAGCATTGGCAAACCACCCCAGCTGGACCTCAGAGAAGTCAGGGTGGGCCTCTCCCTTCCTGTGTGTGGTTCCAACGGGGGTGGAGATGGCACTCAGGGGCACCTGCTCTTTCGCTCTTTCTGAGCGGAGGCGAGAGGCAGAGGTGTGGGGAGGAGGAGATGCTGGGACTCGAGCCATCACTGCTTCTGGTGCCCAGAGACCTACTGGGGACGCCATCCTGCTGCCTGGCAAGCCCACACACCACTTCCTCCTGTGTGCCAGCCCTGGGTCCGGAGGTTGGGGAGGACCAACCTTGCCCCTGCCTTTAGGAGGGTCCCCGTGTGGGTGTGAGACAAGTGGGCTCTGACACAGTAGGAAAGAACCCACCCTCCGGGCACCGGGGCTGGTGCCCCAGCGTTGGCACCATGGGAAAGGAAGCACTCTGCATCCTGAGCCCATCAGCCAATGGCACACACTGGGTGCACCACGCACAAGGCTGCTTTGGGCTGAGGGTACAGGTTTGAGATGGGGCTGAGTGACCCGAGGGTGCAGCAGGTGGGCCGTGGTTTAGACAGGAGTGAGGATGGGCTGAGAAGCGTGAGCGGGGTGATGGGCAGCATGCTGTCGGCCATGGAGTGATGCCAGGATCCTAAAAGCCAGACTGAGGGGGAGGCAGGGACCACTGTAAGGTCAGAGTTCACCTGAAGGGGAAAAATTCTCAACCCCTGTGCCCCTAGGATGAGCCGGCAGGTGGTCCGCTCCAGCAAGTTCCGCCACGTGTTCGGACAGCCAGCCAAAGCGGACCAATGCTATGAGGATGTGCGCGTCTCACAGACCACCTGGGACAGTGGCTTCTGTGCTGTCAACCCCAAGTTTGTGGCCCTGATCTGTGAGGCCAGTGGGGGAGGGGCCTTCCTGGTGCTGCCCCTGGGTAAGGTGAGCCACTGGAAACTTGGGACAGCAGATGTCTTCCTGGGAAGGCCTCTGTCACCCGTGGCACTGGGTGGGTGGGGGGACTGAATAGGTGATTGTCACTTAGCCTTCCTGGACCTCAGTGTTGTCATCTATAAAACTGAGCCGGGCCAGATATGGCTCCCGCTCCCTCCAGCTCCTGTGTGCACGGGTTGTGTGGAACCTGAAGCTCATGGGGCACCAAGAGAGGGCCGCATGGAGACCCGCAGACCCAGGGCCAGGTCTCCCAAGTCTCAGCCTGGGGCTTTGTCCTCCTGGAAACACAGGGAGGGCTGGGATAGCACCTGAGACTTGGTGAGTAGTAGTACTGGGGCTGGGGACTCTAGGTCTGGGTCTGAGCAACCGGCTGAGCCTCTGGTGATGGAAGAGGCCTCCCTTCTCTCTCGGAGCCATGCCCCTTCCCCCTGCTGTGTGTGACCTCCACCCCAGCACACTCCTGTGTTCTTTGATGGGTGAGACAGGAAGGGGAGATGGGTTCTCAGTTGTTACCTTAAAAGGGCTGATGGAAGCAAACACAAGAGGAAGTGGTTGTCGGGGTGAGAGCTGGGCCCGCGCCCTGCTCGACTCTCCACACAGGAAGCCCTACTGAAGCAGCTGGCCCCGGAAGAGGCCATTTCTAAACCTCTGCTCCTGCCTGGGGGGCCACTGATGGCAGACTTCCTTGGTCCCTCTTCATCTGGAAGGACACATCCTAACAGCCCCACCATGGACACAATTCCCTGGAGAACCCCAACCTGACCCCTGACTGGTCTAGACCTTTAGCCTGATGTGCCCCTGGAGACCTCACTCAGGGAAGCAGGGGTGGGGATGCTGGCCTTCAGAGCCAGCATAGGGTAGGGACAGAGACAGGCAGGCCATGGCCAGGATCTCACATAGCATGGCTCCCCACACCCTATGCTATTTGCAGCCAGCCCTCCTGGGATTGGGGCAAGGAGAGCAGGCCCCAGGCCCTGGCCCACCTCCTGGGAATCCCACAGCCTGTTCCTCTGCAGGGGTGTGAAGAGGTTGGACTGGGTTTGGAGGGTCAGAGTGCCTCCACCAAAGGCTCTGCTGTGCCCTCTAGACTGGACGTGTGGACAAGAACGTGCCCACAGTCTGTGGCCACACAGCCCCTGTGCTGGACATTGCCTGGTGCCCACACAATGACAACGTCATTGCCAGTGGTTCTGAGGACTGCACTGTCATGGTGAGTGCTGGTGGGGGGTGCTCAGGTGCTGGGTAAGACTCTAGGATGGAGCCAACATTCGGAGTCCCAGAGACTCACTCATTGCTTCTCTGCAGGTATGGGAGATCCCTGATGGCGGCCTGACGCTGCCCTTGCGGGAGCCTGTTGTCACCCTGGAGGGCCACACCAAGCGTGTGGGCATCGTGGCCTGGCACCCAACAGCCCAGAATATACTGCTCAGTGCAGGTGCCGTGGGGTGGGAGAAAGGGGAAAATGGGGGGGGGGGGGGGGGGCTGGTGGCTGACATAGAGGTGGTGGGAAGCTCATGGCTTCTGACACAGGGGTGGCGGGATTATGCAGGTTGTGACAACGTGATCCTGGTGTGGGATGTGGGCACTGGGGCAGCTGTGCTGACGCTGGGCCCAGATGTGCACCCGGACACAATCTACAGCGTGGACTGGAGCCGCGATGGTGCCCTCATCTGCACCTCCTGCCGTGACAAGCGTGTGCGCATCATTGAGCCACGCAAAGGCACTATTGTAGCTGTGAGTTGCCATGAACCCTGACCCTTGACCCTGCGACCATTAGCCCATACCTCCATCCACCAGACCCTTGGGTACTGTACTCCCCTGTCCCCCCCTAGGTCTCCTCGCTAGCGTGTGTGGATGGGTGTCTGACCTACCACCACCCTCTCCTTGCAGGAGAAGGACCGTCCTCATGAGGGGACTCGGCCTGTGCACGCTGTGTTTGTATCAGAAGGAAAGATACTGACCACCGGCTTCAGCCGCATGAGTGAGCGGCAGGTGGCGCTGTGGGACACAGTAAGTGCGTGATGGGAAGTAGAGTGCACCTGGGCTGAGAATCGAGACTGGAGTCCCTGCCCTGCCACTTGCCTGGCCAGATGGCCCTGGGCCTCAGTTTACCCAATTGAGATGGGAATTTCCAATAGTTGGTCTGGGAGGGTTCTCACCTGGTCATGCCCAGTGAGGATCACCATCACAGGACCTGACATGGCCCAGCCTGTTCTTATCTCCCACCTGTCTCTACAGAAGCACCTGGAGGAGCCACTGTCCCTGCAGGAACTGGACACAAGCAGTGGAGTCCTGCTGCCTTTCTTTGATCCTGACACCAACATTGTCTACCTCTGTGGCAAGGTGGCTTAGCCAGGAGGGGTTGGGGGCTAGGAGATGGGCAGGAAGGGCTTGGAGGAGCTAGACTGGAGGCATCTGTTGGCGCTGACCCTCCCTTTGCACGAACCACCTGCAGGGTGACAGCTCTATCCGCTACTTCGAGATCACCTCTGAGGCCCCATTCCTGCACTATCTTTCCATGTTCAGTTCCAAGGAGTCCCAGCGTGGCATGGGCTACATGCCCAAACGTGGCCTGGAAGTGAACAAGTGTGAGATTGCCAGGTGACTGACCCTCACCCCTGATCGGGGCTTGCTCCCAGGGCAGTGCTGACCTGCAGGCTCCAGGCGCTGCTCACCTTCCTGTTTCCGCAGATTCTACAAGCTGCACGAGCGGAAGTGTGAGCCCATCGCCATGACAGTGCCTAGAAAGGTGATGGTCCCGTGTCCCTTCCTGGGCTCCAGACTGGGCACTGACCTCTTGGGCTTGTAGGGTGGTATGGTGACATTAGCACTCCCATAACTATCCCTGGCCTTGCCCACAGTCGGACCTGTTCCAGGAGGATCTGTACCCACCCACAGCAGGGCCTGACCCTGCCCTCACAGCTGAGGAGTGGCTGGGGGGTCAGGATGCTGGGCCCCTCCTCATTTCCCTCAAGGACGGCTATGTACCCCCCAAAAGTCGGGAGCTGCGGGTCAATCGGGGCCTGGACAGCACACGCAGGAGGGCAGCGCCAGAGGCCAGTGGCACTCCCAGCTCGGTGAGAGGCGGGCGGGGAGGCAGAACGGGAAGATGGTGAAGTGGGGAAGGGGCTGCATGGAGGTGCTCAGTACTCCAGGGGAAGCAGGCTGGTGTCTGGAGCTTTCCAAGGTCACAATGGTGGGGCAGCTTGGAGTGGGTAATCCAGAGGCCTCAAAAAACAGGACTTGGAGCCGGGTGTGGTGGTACACGCCTGTAATCTCAGCAGCTCAGAGGCTACGGCAAGAGGACTGCAAGTTCAAAGCCAGCCTCAGCAATTCAGAGAGGCTCTGCACAACTCAGCAATACCCTGACTCTAAATAAAACAAAAAAGGGTTGGGGTGTCGCTCAGTGGTTAAGCATCCCGGTGTTCAATCCCCGGTACCAAAACAAACAAAACAAAAACATGATTTGGGTTTACAAGCCTACAACTCTCTGGGCAGGAACTGGCTGACAGACAGAAGGGCCCAAATTCTGGGTCTCTTGGTAGGGGGTTTAGCAGATGCCAGGTTAATGAGGGACTCCAGAAGGAGCTAAGCCTAATCTAGCCTGGATCCCCCAGGATGCTGTGTCCCGGCTGGAGGAGGAGATAAAGAAGCTGCAGACCACAGTGCAGGAGCTGCAGAAGCGCCTGGACAGGCTGGAGGAGACAGTCCAGGCCAAGTAGAGGGCACAGGGCCTTCAGCTGGGGGAGGCCACTCACAGCCCTCCATTCCCACCCAGGCCTCAGGCTACCATGGCAAAGAAGAAACAATAATAAAATGGCTTTATTTTCTTGTACTTCTCCAGACTCTGATGACTGCTTACCTGGATGCCGGGCCTGCTAAACTAACCTACCTTTGGGCTTCCCTCTTAGCATCCCTGATGGAACTGTCCCCATCAGGGCTGTGGGGAGTCCCTCTCTGAATACCCTACAGCACAGGCTGTTGGGGGAACCCACCCACGTTGATGTGGGCTGGGAGCTTCCTCTTTGTTTCCCAATTCCTTCTCAGAACTGGCAGGCCCTTGCTGGGGGTATCTGAGCGGAGGTAAAGCCCAAGTTATTGTGGGGCACAATAATTGTTCAGTATCTCTTGCTCAGGACTTAAGGGTATGTATTTCCAGAGCGGCTCCCGACATCAGAAATTCCCATGTTTACCTCAATTCTGCTGTGCCCAGTCAACCAAACATCAGGTTGCTCAGGACTGTACTGACACTGCTGCTTGTGGGGACATGATCCAGTGAGCACTGTGCACTGGTCATCTTTCAAACTGCAAACTCAAAGGATAAAAATAGCAAGGCTTTCTGTAAGGAAAGAGTTTAGAAACAGTTTGCTGTAGGTCAGATTGTGACTCACAATCTAAGTCTCCATTTTTGTTCAGAAATTCTCCTTATAGCACTACTACCTCTTGGGGCCCTTTCTATGGGTTCTGTTGGGGTGTGGCTTCTGTGAAAGGGGGACCTGGCAGGAATAGGTCTGTAGGACCCTACCAAGAGGGGGCTTAGGGCTGGGCATGGTGGTGCATGCCTGTAATCCCAGCAATTGGAATGCTAGAAGCAGGAGGATTGCCAGTTTGAGACCAGCCTCGGCAACTTAGTAAGGCTCTAAGCAACTTAGTGAAACCCTGTCTCAAAAATAAATAAATGGCTGGGAATGTGGCTTAGTGGTAAAGCACCCCTGGGTTCAATTCCTGGTACAAAAAAAAAGCTTGGGGCCAGGTGCAGTAGTACATGACTATAATCCCAGCCACTTGGGAGGCCGAGGCAGGAAGACTGCAAGTTCAAGGCCAGTCTGGGCAACTTACCAAAAACAAAAAATAAGAAGGCCTGGGAATGAAGCTCAGTGGTAAAGTGTCCCTGGGTTCAATCCCTAGCATGCAAACAAACACAAATATAAAGAGAGGACTTGGGAATAGGTTTTGATGCCCAATTCAATTTAGTGGATGATGCCCACTGAACCAGGATGACACAGGGCTGTTTGGAATGGGTGTCTTGGCCACAACAGAACTTGGTTCATATCCTGCAAAAACAACAAAAGTTCATTCCCAGCCCCCATGTCATCAGCATGTCACAGAAGAAAGCTATCAGGGTAGAGACTGCTGGGTACCAATGTACAAATGTTCCTGTCTGCATACTCAGGTCTTCAGTCTATGTAAGCCGCGTGACCCTGCACAAGTTACTTCTCCAGGCCTCAGGGGGGAATCATGGAAGGGCAATCATCACAGCTGGGCGAATGTAATGGTAGATCCCAGCATGGCTGGAGGCTGGGCCTCTTAAAGGAGTGACACTCCTTCTCTGCATTTCTGTTGCACTATGGGGATGATGGGCCCTTCTGGAGTTCTCATGAGTAGACTCACTAGTTTTGGTTCAGGAGAACTTAAAAATTTTCAGGAAATGATCCCTTGGATCCAGAAAGGTTGTCTGTAACCATCATGACTCAGCTCTACCAGCCCATTCTCTCCCAGAGGGAAGCAAGAGAGGAAGGTAGGGGATAGAGGAAATTGACGGACTAAAAAACTAGCTTCAAAAACACAGGTAACAAAGTGGGTGAGATGTGTGAAACATCTCATTTCTCACTCTTAAAGAGACTTGGGTCCAAATGATTCACTTGGTGTCCCTCCTGAGTCTCCGCCAACCCATGGTTAAGACTTTTATAGATGTACCTTCCCCAGTTTTGTGCCTTATTTTCCTGCTCTATCCCTATGTCCTAAGCACATCCCACATTCCTGAAAAATTCATGGTTCTCACAGGGTACCTGTGGATACTAAAGTCCAGGGCTATGAAGCTAGTGGGACTTCTTCTAGAAGGGGGCCACAAAACATCAGCACACTAGCTGGTGAAGAGCCTCAGCTTAGCCTCACTTCCCTTGAGGTTTGTGAAGGGCTGAGGGGGTCTGAGGGGGATGCTTCTGATATTGCGGTGATGCTGGGGAGAGAGACCATTTTGTTCAGCTCATCAGGGTTCTCAAATCCTGAACACTTTCTCATCTCTGAATTTTTACTAATATTTGCAGAACTAGGGATTGAACCTAGGGCCTTCCACAATGCTAGGTAGGCACTGAGCATATGCCCAGTTTTTATTTTATTTTGAAATAGGGTCTTACTAAGTGGACCAGGCTGCCCTTGAACTTGTAATTATCCTGCTTCAGTCTCCTCAGCAGGTAGAATTCCAGGCATGATTGGGTGGGGAGTGGCAATACAGATTCTTAGGGGTCTACAAGAAAGGTTTGCAAGGAAGACTCTGGAAGGGACCTAAGGACAGAATTTCATTTTACAAGCTGGACACAGAGGCTACATGGGGAGCGGAACTTGAATCGAAGCAAGGCTGAGAGAAGCCAAGCAGTACACTCAGCTTCAGTGCCCCTGCCACACACAACACACAGACACAGAAGCTGGCCCTGATTTGTCATTTAATGCTGCGCAGGCATCGGTCCCTCATTTCTGCTGTTCACGAGCCCACTGGTCTGGAGTCAAAGTTTTCTGCTCAAAGGCATGGATGTGCGGGAGCTCTTCTGCTAGGGACGCATTCACCAGCCTGGAGTTGAGAAACGGCAGGCTGACGCCTGGGTGGCGGTCCCCGAGGTTCTACGCTCCAGGGGTCATGGGCCACGTTGCTGGGGTAGGGGTTAGATAAATGGGAATGGGGGAGTGGCTAGGGTTGTGGTCCTGGAACTGGGGCCGCGCTCAAGGAACAGTTTCTGCACTTACCGGTGTCTATGAAGCAGTGGCTTCCCTTCGAACTTAGCCGACACCACCAGGACTCGGAAGCTGGTCGCGCAACGGCCAGGAGTCGTGTCCTCCACCTCCTACCGGGCAGAAGGATGGGGTTCATGCCCAACCCGCTCCCAGGCCTCCTTTTCTCTCTTGGGGAGGGTTCAGACGACTCAACTCACCACGTGCTCCGCCTCCAGGTCCCGCTGCAGCTTCTCCCGGAGGTAGTCTGCGCTGAGTTCCATCGCGGCAGCCCGGCGGGGACAGAAACCCACCTAGCACCGGCCTCGGTGCCTTCCGCCCTTAGTGGAGCCACTTCCGGTAAGACATCTACTTCCGCCCTCACTAGGGAGTCCTTAAACGCAGCACTTCCGCCCTCAGACTCGGGTGAAATGCCAACAGTCAAGGGTTTTCGCGCTTACCATCTGTTAGCCAATCAGAGTCTGCGGGACGACCGACCCTCCCCGAGCGCACGCTCATTGGTTGGCTCTAGCAGTCTGCAAAGAGGTCTGGGTTTTGTAGCCAGGTGTTGGCACCGAGCTCCAGCTCGGAGAGGGTGCACGAACCCATACTGTTGGCGGGCTCAAAGGTGCCTCGCTGTCGCCGAAACAAGCATGTTGCAGTCCTAGCTACCCAGCCTCCCCGTGGTTCGCGGTTACAGAACTCACCTCCAGCTTCGGCCCCAGACCTACAACGTCCCGATGGGTCCCACGGGGAGCGAAGCAAGGCCGGAGCGTTTCTTCGGTGTCTACCTGCTCTACTGCCTAAACCCTCGGCATCGGGGCCGCGTCTACGTGGGGTTCACGGTCAACCCCGCTCGTCGGGTCCTGCAGCATAACGGCGGTCGCAAAAAAGGCGGGGCCTGGAGGACCAGCGGGAGAGGGCCCTGGTAGGGCGGCGGGTCTCAGGGCTGGCTTCTGGGAGGAAGAGGACCGGGCTGGGCAGAGGCAGGATAATAGGGGCGGGGCAGGCCTGTGGTGGCGGGCAGGCCCAGTAACTGGGTGGGGCTACCCCAAAGGGCGGGGCCGGGAGACCGAGCCCCGTGCATCTGCGGGTCAAGGGCTTGGCTGCTAAGTGGTCTAGCGACCGGGGACTTGGTGAGCAAGTTCTGAGACAGAACAGATCCTAGACAGAGAGAGAGGACCAAGGACTGTTAAGTCCTTGCTACTGGATGAGGGGCCTGAGGTTGGCAGGTGTGAGGGCATGTACCTGCACGAAGGGAGGGGAGCCTCGTCGCTAGGCTTGAAGCTCGTGTGAGGATGGCCCTTGGTGGGGACTGGAAGCGTACAATGGTTAGGGATTCGGCATCACGTTGGGTGTATGTGGGTTGGGGGCTCACAGGCCGCGCGCTTGTTTTCCTCCCCAGGGAGATGGTGCTTATCGTGCACGGCTTCCCATCTGCGGTGGCCGCCCTTCGGGTAAGAAAGACAGTTGGGTGGTGGACAGATGAGTGAGCTCGCAGTGTCACTATGCGACTGCAGTCTCGGCCGCCCCAACGCTCTTGTCTTTCCCGCCCGCAGTTCGAGTGGGCCTGGCAACACCCGCAAGCCTCGCGTCGCCTGTCACACGTGGGGCCGCGCTTGCGAGGCGAGGCAACCTTCGCCTTCCACCTGCGAGTGCTTGCGCACATGCTGCGCGCGCCACCCTGGGCGCGTCTCCCGCTCACACTGCGCTGGTTGCGCCAGGACTTCCGCCAGGATCTCTGCCCTCCCCCGCCACCACATGTGCCGCTGGCCTTCGGCCCGCCGCCTCCCCGGACCCAGCTTCCGAAGCGCTGCGCTGGGCCTGTTGTAGACAGGGAGCGTGAAAAGGACCCGGTCGCACAATCCTGTTGCACTCTCTGCGCCCGCACCCTTGAGGTGAGATCCGCGCCAAGTAGGGGCAGGACTGGGGTTCAGAATATTTGAGGTCAATACGTTTGTTGAACAGACAGGCAACTGACGCGTTGATTGGCAGCTCTGCCACGCAAAGTATGTGCATGGTTCCTGGACCCCTCACTACTAATCTAGGGCCCTGGTCATTTCCCTTTGAGTGGAAGGTGCAGTTCTAGACCTTAAGAATTGACCATGTGCCACCAACTCAGTGAGGCCTTTCCTCTCCATCTAAAATTATAGCTTTTTCTGAGCTGGACACAGTGGTGCACACCTGTAATCCCAGCAGCTCCGGAGGCTGAGGCAGGAGGATTGCAAGTTAAAATTAGCCTCAGCAATTTAGCAAGACTCTGTCTTAAAATAAAAAGGGCTAGGGGGCTGGGGTTGTGGCTCAGTGGTAGAGTGCTTACCTTTCATGCATGAAGCCCTGGGTTAGATCCTCAGCACCACATAAAAGTAAATAAATAAAAATAAAGATAAAAAAAAAGGCTAGGGATGTGGCTCAGTATTAAGCGCCTCTGGGTTCAATCCCCGGTACCAAAACCAAAAACAAACAAAAAAAAGCTCTTAAGTCCTTTTTCCCCCCCTTTTTATTTATTTGTTATGGTATAGTGGATTAAACCCAATACATCCCCAGCCCTTACTGTTTTTTTTTTTTAATTGTGGGAGACACAGTCTTCCAAAGTTGTCTAGACAGGCTAAGTACATGTGATCGGTCCCCCTACCTCAGCCTCCTAGTTACTTGGATTACAGGTGTTGGCCACCTTGTAGGGCCCACTTTTGCCCTTAATTCTTATTATTGTTTCACATGGTATATTTTATTATTTCCTAATCAGCTTCCCCACTCTTCACACTAAACTCCAGGAGGGCAACTCTTATTCACTCACTTAGCACAGAGTAGGTGATCAATCAATACTTAACAAGTTAACAGATGGAGGCCTGGCTTCTGATCTCTCAATAATAAATAGCTTACTTCCAGTCTTCCTTTCCTTCCTTTGCTACCTTTGACAGGATGAAGACAGTCCCCTGTGTTGCCCTCACCCTGGCTGTCCCCTAAAGACCCATGTGATCTGCCTGGCAGAGGAATTCCTTCAGGAAGAGCCAGGGCAGCTTCTGCCCCTAGAGGGCCAATGTCCTAGGTGAGTGCTATCCTCTTTCCCAGCCTGGCCTAGCTCTGGGGAGAGGGTGCCCAGTGTTCCAATCCAGGCTGGGGCAGATGAGTCCTTGGCGACCCAGGGCCAGGGCTGCAGGGGGCTTGAGAAGCTTGACTCTGTATCATCTCCTACCAACTGCACCCTTGGCAGCTGTGAGAACTCACTGCTTTGGGGAGACCTGATCCGGCTGTGCCGGATGGGCACTGAGGAGGAAGAGGATGGCTCAGAATTAGAAGAGGTGAGAGGTGATTCTGGCCCCCACTCTTTTCATCTACCTCCATCCCCTAGGCTGCCTTTGACCAAGCTCTTATCTCCATAGGAACACTGGACAGACATGCTGGACACCTGATCCTCAGCCTCCCCAACCCTGATCCTATGATTTTTCTGTCCCCCAGTGGCCACCAACCATACTGGACAATTTTTATTTGAATTCAATAAAATATTTTGAGTTAAGGGTAACTTCTGATGTCTGTGGGGAGGTCTGGGTGAGGGGAATAGAAATGGGAGGAGAGCCCATCGGCCCAACCATGTGTCCAGCGTCTCTCCTGCTTGGAGACTTTGCCTGGCTTGGCACAGAGAACATACAGCACACATTCACATCCACGACTTTGAGCCTCCTGACCTCCAGTGTCCAGATAGACTGAATTTTTTTTTTGCCTCAACATAGAATTCTTTATTTTGTATAAACAGCACAGTAGAAACATCCCCACTAACACATAAACCTATATATAAAACAGACTGGGGCTGGGGATGTGGCTCAAGCGGTAGCGCGCTTGCCTGGCATGCGTGCAGCCCATGTTCGAGCCTCAGCACCACATACAAACAAAGATGAGTCTGCCGAGAATTAAAAAATAAATAAATAAATAAAATAAAACATAGACTATCTCTAATATATTTTCCCCCTTATATGGTAGCATACTAGTGTATGCAAGAGAAAGTATTGTTGGTGAGGCACGAAGGAAACTGATTGAGGCAATGACTAGTGAGCCAGGCATTAACATTCAAAAACCAGGCAGACATGAATTTTAATTAGAAAAGCAGTATCAAAATAGTTTCTATGATTTGGGGATTTACATGCTTCAGTCTACATTCCTGATAGTCTAACTTTTCTCAGTCATGGTTCTTTGCCTTTGGAGTGGTACTATGCAGTTACAGAGAATGCCTACCTAATACCAGATTTTCACCATGAAAAATCATAATAGAAATGACGAAGCTTCAATATGTCAAAATGCATTCTACTGTCATGTATAACTAATTAGAACAAGTTAAGAAATAAAATAAAAAAACAGTAAAAATAAAGCAAAAAAATTGAAACAAAGCTTAAAAAAAAAAAGAGTATGCTGGATTTCAAAAGATAATAATCTTTAAGAAAGCTTAACATAAATACTCCAAACAATAGGCTTTAGAATATCCTGTGTTTAGGAGTAAACATTCACTTGAGCCATTTGTCAAATTCTATGTAGTAATTTGTTTCTCAAGGATCCTTTTATCTCAGGAAAGTCCATAGTCATCTGATTTCTTCTTTACCTAACGATCTGTTGTCAGCCTACTTTTAACAATAGAAGGGAAAACTGGTATATATTTTAAATCAACTGGTTCTCCTTAAGTCTTATAGTTCCTATTCTATTTCAACATCATGGTGAACATTTTCAACATGGCTGTGTACTTACAGAAGCAATCTCTCAGTTATGAAAAATAAAACATTAGTCACAGGGCTTATGAAATGAAAAGTTCTTTCTCAAACTCTTTCTTGTTAAAAAAATTAACTTTAAATGTACAAGACCAAGCACAGGTACTTTCCAAAAACCAAAATGAAGCCAAATCACAAAATTACACAATAGTTTTAGAAGACAGCTCTGATTTTTTTTTTTTTTTGTGGGGTGTGGGGGGGTCATCTGGTAGCCTCAGTACAAGCACTGGTCTTTGGCTGCTCTGATACTTCTTCCTCCTTTTCTGGCAACCTTCCAAGAGACCCCAAAGGTACAGTGCTTTCTCAATTCTATGTTGAGGAGACTTGTGAAATTACAGGGATTTGAACAGAGAAGTTACTTTCAAAACCGTGTTCTTCAAGATCACGCTGAGCAAGCGTCTCTTCTTGCTCCTGGTTTAAGTAGTGTGCTACTACTAGGAAATCACTTTATGCTTTAGGCGATGCATCTTTAGTGAGTAAGCCCTGGATTTTAATGCAAACAGGAAGAGAAAGGCTGAGGAGGAGGTGGGGAGCTCCTTTTACACGGATCTCTGTGGCTCTCTAGCCCAATCTCTTCATGTCCATCTGTCCCTGGAGCCCCCTTCAAGCTCCATCAGCCATGAGCCATGTTCCTGAGGTCCCACAGGAGCCATGAAGCAGGGGCTCCCTCCAGGACTAGTAGGCTCTGGCATCCTTGTCTTTCCTATCTCATGCTGCCTCAAAACAGCCCTCCTTACTCTGCTCCGCCCCCAGTCCTTTGGCCCTGCCCACCCAGTATTCTAGACTTGCCTGTTGTTAGAGCCTGCAGCTCTGGAATGCCTGTGGCTGCTCTGGTCTGAGCCTGTGGTGTCTTGAGATTGGCCTGGAGCCGGAAGAAAGGTGAGTGGCCCTGCACCCCATCTTTTCTCTCCCCTTTCCTCCCTTGACTTGGTCAATTAGAAAAAGCTGACTGTTGCCCAACTGTGAAGGGAAGGAGGTTAGGATCAGATTACAGCTGAAAAAACATCCAGCCCATGGGGCCCTTTCTCCTCATTTCACTTTGTTTGCTATATGGTAAACCCACATCTTGAGTTTCAGATAGGTCTTAGCAAGAGGCCCCTCATCCCAGACCTCACCCTTTCCTTTCTGGAGGACAGCCAGTTCCAGCTTCATGCTAACAGGGTAACACAGACTTCCCCCTGCCTGAAACCTCACCCTGAATTCTGGGAGGACAGCCAGTCCCAGCGTTTGCTCCTCATTTTGAAACTAGAAAACCTTCAGCTCAGAGAGAAGCTCTGTGATCCCCACATAGCACCAACACAGAGCCACTGCATGTCCAGGAAGCCACAAGTCCAGGAGACTGAGAGATCAAGTAAGTCCAGATTGGGGTTGACTGGGCCAGACCACCCTTGCCCTGCCCAGGTGCTGACTCCAACATCTTCCAAGTGCTGGCCAGTTCTTAGTGCTTGATTAGACAACTCTTTTATCACTCGACAGAAACCTCTGCCTCCCTGTTCTTTCCACCACAAGAGGGAAACTCCAGCCTGGACAGTCTCCCTGCCCTCATCTGCAGAGTCATTGAATTTTACTCATTTTCATAAAAGACTGGCCCTGAGGCAAGTTCTGTTACCCGATTACCTGGGTTGGTTCTGGAAGCAAGATGGAGCTTGGGTGGGCAAGTGGGATCCCAGGTCAATTGGCCTGGGGTGTTTTTGAATATGAAGGGCCCAAGGAGCTCAAAAAAAAGGGGAACAGCATGAAGAGGAGCCCATTAGATTTAGGCAGGATGTACTAAGAGAAAAAAGCCTACAGGTAAGAAGTTAGAATGGGCAGGCCACAATAGTATTTCGAAATGCATGCTGGAATGCTTCCAAACTCAAATATCAGGATTTCAGCCCTAGAATTGCTTACATTGTTCTGGGTTGTGGCTGGGCACTGGGGTCATGGAAAGTTCTGCAGGTAAGCAGAAGGTGTAGCATGACCTATGAACCACTGTATTGGAGTTAAACCTCATTTCCAGTCCCAACTGCCACTTACTAGCTTAGTGAGCTTGGGCAAATCATAGGACCTCCTGAAGCTTCAGTATCTCAAAGCAACCATTCAGCAAATGCTGTTTTGTGAAGGGATTCAGAGAAGCAGAGCAGGCGCTGGCCCCTGACTCAGCAGCATGGAGCTGGTCTCGGACACCTCCCGCCCTCCACTGGTCAGTGTGAAGGGGGTCCCGCTCATCAAGTACTTTGCAGAGATGGTGGAGCCACTTCAGAGCTTCCAGGCCTGGCCCGATGACCTGCTCATCAGCACCTACCCCAAGTCTGGTAAGTGAGGAGGGCCACCCTGCTCCCCCACTGGGGCTGCAACCCTGACCTTGGTCAGCAGGACCAGGCCCTCCACCCTGATCACAGGGTTTTCTTCCCTCTTACAGGTACCACATGGGTAAGCGAGATAGTGGACATGATCTACCAGAGTGGTGACCTAGAGAAGTGTCATCGGGCCCCCATCTTTGTACGGGTGCCTTTCCTTGAGTTCAAAGGCCCAGGGGTTCCCTCAGGTGAGTAGCAGAGTGCTGGGGCAGGTGGTATTAGGAAGATTGGACTCCAGCTCACCACAAGTTCCCCTGCCCGCACCTTAGGTCTGGAAACTTTGAAAGATACACCCGCCCCTCGGCTCATCAAGACACACTTGCCCCTGGGCCTGATTCCCCAGAGTCTGCTGGATCAGAAGGTCAAGGTGAGTGGCAGTGGAGGCCACTAGGCCATTCCACTTTGGTCCTGTTCTGCAGGGAAAGCCTCTTAAAGCTTTGTCTCTGCACAAGTGGGAAGGCCACCTGCCCTCACTGTGGCAGGGCCAAGATGAGGAGGAGAGCGAGACCCTTCAGTGCAGACCTGAGGGCAGGGGAGCCTGGTGCTCAGAGGCTCACATAGGGGCTGGAGGGTCCCCTGCCTGCCTTGTTCTCCATCTGGGTGTGTGGTGGAATCCCAGGGGTCAGATAGGATGAAGTACGGCTCCAGGGACCAGCCAGGAGTCTCCCATCAAAGCTGCTTTCAGATCCCAGCTGTCGTAGCCATCCTTGAGGTCTTCAGCAAGTCAGCCTCAAGGCCTCAGCATGTTCCCTTGTCAAGCCGAGAGGGGACCCCCTATGGGTGCTGTGAGAGGGACAGGCACCAAGGGGGGCAGGCAGTCCTGGGGTGTGTGCGTGGGGTGGTGTAGCTGGCAGTGGGTGTCGTCTGTCCCTGCAGGTGATCTATGTTGCCCGCAATGCAAAGGACGTGGCTGTCTCCTATTACAACTTCTACAAAATGGCCAAGGTGCACCCTGACCCTGGCACCTGGGACAGCTTCCTGGAGAAGTTCATGGACGGACAAGGTGGGCCCCAACCTGGAGGAAGGAGAGGGCTGGAGTTTAGGAAGCCCACCTAAAACTTATAACAGGGCTGGAGTTGTGGCTCAGAGGTAGAGTACTTGCCTAGCACATGTGAGGCACTGGATTTGATTCTTAGCACCACATAAAAAATAAATAAAATAAAGGTCTTGTGTCTATCTACAACTAAAAATATTAAAAAAACGCTCAGACCAACTGGTGGCATCCCCTTCCCCAGTGTCCTATGGGTCGTGGTACCAGCACGTGCAGGAGTGGTGGGAGCTGAGCCGCACCCACCCGGTGCTCTACCTCTTCTATGAAGACCTGAAGGAGGTGAGATTCTCCCCGCTACTACTCCATCTAAGTTCCACCCAGGGGGCAGGAACCTCAGGGGACCTGACAAGGCCCAGGACCCTCCCCTTTGGCTGGCCCA